GGAGTCAAGCTATTCTCCAAAGCGCCTGAAGGCAGGACAAGAAGCAACGGATGGAAACTAATCAAGGAGAGAAGCAACCTAGAACTAAGGAGAAACTTCCTGACAGTTAGAACAATTAACCAGTGGAACAACCTGCCTCCAGAAGCGGTGAATGCTCCAACACTGGAAGTTTTTAAGAAGAGACTGGACAGCCATTTGTTTGAAATGGTATAGGGTTTCCTGCCTGAGCAGGGGGTTGGACTAGATGACCTCCAAGGTCCCTTCCAACTACTACTACTACTACTACTACTACTACTACTACTACTACTACTACTACTACTACTACTACTTCTTCTTCTTCTTCTTCTTCTTCTTCTTCTTCTTCTTCTTCTTCTTCTTCTTCTTCTTCTTATTATTATTATTATTATTATTATTATTATTATTATTATTATTATTATTATTATTATTATTATTATTATTATTATGATCATCATGATCATGATCATCATGTGATTTAGCTTCCCAGCACTTTTATCATCTTTGTGACTCTGCTCTGCACACCTTCTTTTTGTATCCAAGCTTGTGAAACCCACCCCAAAGCCCAGGCTAATAGGAAATTTCATTCTAGCTTAGGAAAGGGAGCCCAAACTAAAGGTGGAAGTTGCTGGGCTTGGAACAACAGAGAAATCAGAGGAGCAGGGAAAAAAAAAATCTGGATGTCGTCCAGGTTTAAATAATCATGAAGTTATTTGGTGGTTCCTTCCCCCCCCCCAAACTGAAACATGTTCTTCAAAGGAGAGTTTGATGCCAGTCAGCAGTTGAATAAGAAGGGTGACCCCCAATTTTGTAAGGAGAACAGGTAGTCCTCGACTTACAACAGTTCATTGAGTGACTATTCAAAGTTACAATGATACTGAAAAAAATGACTTATGACCCTTTGTCACATGTTTGGATGCTTGACAATTGATTTATGACCATTGCAGTGTCCCTGGGGGTCATGTGATCACCTTTTGCGACCTGACAAGCAAGGTCAATGAAAAAGCCAGATTCACTTAACAACCATGTTATGAACAGCTGCAGCGATTCACTTAACAACTGTGGCAAGAAAGATCGTAAAAATCAGGTAAAATTCACTTAACAAACGTCTCGCTCAGCAACAAAAATTTTGGGCTCCATTGTGGTCATAAGTTGAGGACTACCTGCACAGAAGGGGGGAAACGTGCATCAACTCTGCAAGCGTGGCATTGCAGTCCGAACCCCGCCCCTTTTGCATTGTGCATCCAATGGTAATGCTCGTTCAAAGGAGGCAGGGCTTGCGTCACAAGGCTGCACCTGCCATTTTGTCCCCGTCTGATTGTCACAGCAATAGAGAATTCCTGCAGGGGCCGCTTGCTAAAGGAAAAAAAAAATGTGGAAAGTGCAAGAAAAGGAGACACTGCTGAGTTGGAAGGGTGGTTCAAGTGTTCCTAGGATGGTGAAGAAAAGCAGAAGGTGTGATGCTGACTGCTGATGTTCTTTTGAAACTTAATGTTTATATAGTAAGTTTTGCCTGTCAGCTAAAGGTCTTCAGTGTTGCAATCATGGTTATACTTTAAACCAGTCCTTCTCAACCTTGACGACTTTTAAGATGTGTGGACTTCAGCTCCCAGAATTCCCCAGCAGCCATGCTGGTGGGAGAATGCTGTGAGTTAAGTTCACACAAGGTTGAGAAACACTGCTTTAAACAATATATAAATAACAGCACCAGTGCATCTTAGGCACTACTGTGTTCTTAGGGATCTTTAAATGCCTTCAGATTTGATTCTGGAATGGAAAAGCAGAAGCATTAGAAATAGAGATATATTTTTTTAAAGAAAAATGATCTGAAAAATATTAAGAGAAATTTGGTTCTAGTTCCTGCCATGTGATTATGGTGCGGCTGCTTTGAGTTCCACCTAGCAGGACTGGGCAGAAATCGATATGCGTCTCTTCATGGTATTCTCATTTTTCTTCTAGGCATTGGGCAGTGGAGAAAGAGACAGCCGCTTCTGCTAAGACGGACAACATTCTCTCGTGAGTCTGTGAAGATCCAGCTCCTCATGGAGGCCGTCCCGGAAGAGGATGAAAATGCCAGCTTGCTGGGTAAGAGAATTTGGGCAGCTGGTCCAAGACCCTTAAGAATAAGAGGGAATGTCTTGCTCATTTCACGCCCAGGCTGACTGTGCCCTGGGAACTACTTCTTACTTCAGTACAGGTAGTCCTCGATTTACAGCGGTCCATTTAGTGACCGTTCGAAGTTACGACGACAATGAAAAAAGTGACTTATGACCGTTTTTCATACTTACGACCATTGCAGCATGATCACATGATCAAAATTCAGACACTTGGCAACCGGCTCCCGTTTATGACGATTGCGGTGTCCCAAGCAATCATCAATGGGGAAGCCAGAGTCACTTGCAAAAGATGATCACATGACCCCGGGTCGCAAAAGATGATCACATGACCCCGGGACACTGCAACCGTCATGAATCAGTTGCCAAACAGTGGTTGTTAAGTCGTAAGACACTTTTTTCAGTGTTGTAATTTTGGTCACTAAACAAACGGCTGCAAGTCAAGGACTACCTGTATCCCAGAGTCACCAACCCTTTCAAGGGTGTCTTACGTTTGGATTGGGCAGCTTTTGGGAATGCTGGCTGGGGAATTCTGGGAGTTGAAGTCCACCTATCTTAAAGTTGCTAACATTGAGAGTTGCTGCTCTAGTGCTTGTTGGATTAGCTGCTTCACGTAACGCCCCGGCTCCCTCACTGACTTGCGTTGCATGTGGAAATAGCCATTGAACAGACAAACCCAACGGGATATGGCAGTGATGGCGAACCTTTTAGAGACCCAAGTGCCCAAACTGCAACCCAAAACCCACTTATGCATCGTCAGGTGCCAGGTGGGTGTGGCTCATTGGGTGGGTGTGGCCCATTGGCTGGGCGTGGCTGCGGTGGTAACGGCAGACTGGGTGGGACTAAAAAGTTCAATCAATCAATTCCAACTTTGCAAGATCTTTTTTTTTTCCGCGAGAAGTTGAAATTGACTGATTGAATCTTTTTTTTTTTGCACACGGTGGCGGAGGCCTAAAGCGAAAAGGTTTTATAAAACCCAGATGAAGGCCTAGGACTGGGGCGATGGCACGTGTGCCCACAGAGAGCGCTCTGAGTGCCACTTCTGGCACCCGTGCCATAGGTTCGGGTGGTGACCCTATACCGTAGAAAGTATGAGGACACTAGGGTAACCGAAAAAAAAAAAATTAAGGACGTCCGTTGCCCCTTCACTGTCTCGGGCTTCACCGCTGGACGACCTACCACGCCGGACTGATATACCTTAAGTTACCCCTAAACGACCTCCTCTTGTACATACTCAAAGGACCCTATAGATACCAGCTCCTCCGGAGCCATTCGGAAGCCGCAGTAGAAACAGCTTCCTTTTGTGGAAAAGGCCCAGGCTGTACCAGCAGCATCCCAGACTCCTTTAACGACCAGAAATCCACGGTTAGAGAGAAGCCCTACAAGTGCTCATTCTGTGGGGAAAGTTTCAAGCAGCGCTCCTATCTGGTCAAACACGAGAGGACCCACACAGGAGAAAAACCCTACAAGTGCTCGGTGTGTGGGAAAAGCTTCAGCCAGAGTTCCCACATCATTACGCACGAGAGGACTCACACGGGAGAGAAACCCTACCAGTGCTCGGACTGCGGGAAGAGCTTCAACCGCAAAGCCAACCTCCTGGCGCACGAGAGGACCCACACGGGGGAGAAACCTTACGCCTGTTCGGATTGCGGCAAGTGCTTCAGCCAGAGCTCGTGGCTGATGGCTCATAAAATCATCCACACCGGGGAGAAACCGTTTAAGTGTTTGGTCTGCGGGAAACGTTTCAATAACCGTTCGAGTCTTATTAAACACAAGAGGTCCCATTCGGAAGAGAAGCCCTACATTTGCTCGGACTGCGGGAAGTCCTTCAAGGAGAGCTCTAAGCTTATCAAACACCAAAGAATTCACACGGGTGAGAAACCGTACAGGTGCCCGTTGTGCGGCAAAGGCTTCTGCTTCAAGTCCAGCCTGAGCCAACACGAGCGAACGCACACGGGAGAGAAGCCCTACGCCTGCTGCGTCTGCGGGAAAACCTTCCGGCAGAAGTCGCATCTCATCAGGCACGAGAAGATGCACATGGGAGACAAATCCTACGCCTGTTGAGGCTGCCGCAAAGCCATCGGCTGGGGCTCAGGTAGCACAGGTAGAACGACAGGTTCTCCCTGCAGGGAGAGATACACTGCTGAAGTTCTGCCAGCCCCTGCAGTGGCAGAAGAAAGGAAGAAAAGCAAACCAGGAATTGGAAGGACAGTGTTCTGGGACTTGAAACTTGAAATTCATTTAAGCCCGCTTTGTAAATCTTTTGCAATTTTCTTTTTCTAATAAAAGAAAACCAAAGTAGATCTCCCAACTTAGTCTATCCGTCCTTGTTTTAAGCTTCTCAAATCTGTCCAGAGTTACCTTGAGGTAAGATAGGCGGCTACCTATAAATTTTAAAAATAAATAAAATGTAGAGTCGACCTCCTTAGCAGTCCTGATTAGTAGGGAGCTGCTTCCTCCTTCAAAGGAGGGCATATTGCAGAAATTGGGGGAAAGAGGCTGACCCACTGAAAGAAAAAGGAAAACAGGTAAAGGGGAACTGATGTCCTAAATAACAACCACACTGCAGTGTGGGATTATGTTGGAGGCACTTCTTATATCGACTCTATCATATGGAAGGTGACTTTCACATTGGTCATTAAAACATGATGGGTTTTTAGGTAATTGTACTCTAAAGCCCCCTGCTGTAACTCAAGAAAGGCCACAGAGAGGATCAAAATATTTTCTAATAGAATCATATAGAATTCTTGCAGCTATTAACATACACAATCTCAGTTTAGTAGTAAGAAATACATGTTTTGGTAAAGTTTTAATAAGAGTGTATCAGGGTCAAATGGAATTAAAACGTTCAACATTTCTTTCACTCTATGATAAATTATTTTCCTATTATTGTTGAGCTTTGCAGCACATAAGGAAGGATCCATTTATTCAATGCGTTTGCAGCATTTTATAGAAAAAGATACTCATCTTGGCAACCAAGAATGGAGTAATATACCAGTAATAAAGTGTCTTACACCAAGTCACTCAAAGTAGATTTTTGAAATTTGAAGTACATGCAATATATTTTGCATTGGAATTCCCACTGTTCCACTTCTATAGCTATAGACAAATTTTACATTCATTTTAATCATAGGTTTTTAAAAACCTCTTCAGAACTGTTATTTCACTAATAAACTATACGTTGTGCCTCAAACCAAGAAATGCTAAATTGTGAAAAGAAACATTTGAGACATCAATAGCCTTTCTCCAACAGATGATATATATATGTCTGTTAAAGGAACATTTAAAAGAGGTATAACCTCTTATAACTTGATTTGCAACCACTCAGTGACCCTTCAAATGGCACTTAAAAAGGTGACTTACGACGGTTTTTCATGCTTACAATCATTGCAGCATCCCTGTGGTCACATGATCTAAATGTCAGGTTTCCCAGACAGGAAGGAATTATATGAAAGGGGAGGAGACTGTCAGGGCCTTCAAATACAATGTTTCAAACATGGCTTCTGCAGTTGACCCATCAGGTGAAGGGTCTAATTCAGGGGTGGGGAACCTTGGCTCTTTTATAACTTGTGGACTTCACCTCCCAGAATTCCTGAGCCAGCCATGCTGAGGGGAAAGGGAGGTTTCCAAGCTGAGCCATGCTGGCTCAGGAATTCTGGGAGTTGAAGTCCACGAGTCATAAAAGAGCCAAGGTTGCCTACCCCTGGCCTAGTTCATGAAATTGGAACGTCAAAATGGCTTTTTGAGAATCGGTTGCAGGCTTCTTCACAATTTCCCAGGATTCCTGTGGTCTATCATGCTTTTCTCTATGACCAAGGTATTTTTGCAACAAAAACTGCTCACCTATTCTTCCTTTTACAGCAACGCAATTGCCTAGCAACTTTACTCTTCCATCCTCCATTTCAAGAACAGTCTGATCAGCAGGCTGTTCCTCCTTGCAGGTTGCAGGATGGCACTGGGGAACTGACTCCAAATACAGGTAGTCCTGGACTTACAACAGTTCATTTAGTGACGGTTCAAAGTTACCACAGCATTGAGAAAGGTGACCATTTTTTCACACTTACGACCGTTGCAGCATCCCCATGATCATGTGATCAAAATTCAGTTGCTTGGCAACCGGTTCCTATTTATGACTGTTGCTGTGTCCTGAGGTCATGTGATCGATCCCCTTTTGTGACCTTCTGATAAAGGGGGAGCAAGATTCAAGTACCCACTGGGTAAGTAACTTAACAACTGCAGTGATTCACTTAACAAATGTGGCAAGAAAGATTGTAAAATGGAGCAAAACTCACTTAACAAATGTCTCATAATGGAAATTTGGGGCTCAACTGTGGTCATAAATTGAGGACTATCTGTAGTGCCTTTCTCAGATATGGTTTTGAGCCTAGGTCTTGGGAATGTAAGAAGAAATGATGATCAGGATGCTGCTGCAATTTGGACAAGACTACCAGTCTTGGCCGCTGAACTTGATTTTCTTGCAGACGTTTCATTCCATATAGTATGGCTGTCGTATTATTATTTATCTTTATTATCTTTCTTACTCCTCCCTCTTATTGGTGTTATTATTCTGTTGCTTTGCATGCACTGAGAGCTTCTGCACTGGAGACAAATTTCTCAAGCCTTTTAATCACACTTGGCCAAATCAAGTGTTCAATTCTCCAAACTAGGTAACATCTTAATTTTACGGTATTGCTGCCACTTAGTGACCAGATTTAGAATTGCACTGTCTGAATATTTGTAGCCCCATTTGGAGATGACAAGAAGACAACTGGTTTGAAATACCATTTAATAAACCATGGGAAAAAAATTCATACAGCAGAGTAAGTCTATACATGCTTAATTTGTGGGAAAAGAATTCTTTCAAAAATCACACCTCATTAAACATGGAACCAGCCATACAGAGGTGAGAGACCACATACATTTTCAACCTGTGAAAAATGTTCCATCAAAGATCCCATCTTATTAACCATGAAAGGAGAACATGGGGGGGGGGGGGGATCTGCTTGTTCAGTGTGGGGTAAAAACACTGAGTCGTAAAACGCCCCTCATCAGTCATGAAGTAATACATACAGGAGAAAAACCATATCAATGCTCCCTGTGCAATGAAAGCTTATCTCAGCGTGCTGGGCTTTACTGCACACGAGATCCCTCAGAGGAGTAAAACCATATTTGCGGTGGTCCATGTGCACAAAATGCTTCAGTAATAGGCATGTCTGGTTAAGACATGAGCAAATTCATCTGGGAGAGGAAGGTACCCTCTTCCCACCTGTGGGAAGAGGTTTTAGCTCGTCCTCGGGGGTCTTCTCCAGCACAGAAGAATTTATACGGGGGAAATTCCCTATAAATGGTCGATTTATGGAAAAGGCTTCCGTCATAAAAACTTCTGAGACATAAGAGAAACCATACAGAAGAAAAACCATATACATGCTCAGTCTGTGGAACGGTTATAGCTGGAAGTCACCTGGCTGCCCACAGGAGAGGCCATAAGGAAGAAAAGTTACATACATGCTCATTGTGTAGGAAATACTTGAACAAAGGATCCAATCTTCTTAGTCATAAAAAGTCTCGTATCCATGGGAAAACTTACAGGAGAGACACCCTATAAATGCTGTGTGTGTGAAAAAGGGTAGAGTGGGAGAACTAACTCAGGAAAGCACTCACACACAAGAAAAATATTAACCATGCGAAGGTCCAGCCTCACTCACTATGAAAGAGACCATGCTAGAAAAATTCTGCATACATGTTCAGTCTATGGGAGAAACTACAGGTGTGAAGCTAACCTTCTCAGACATATGAAAACCCACATGGGGTAGAAGCCATATTTGCGCTCCATTTGCAGGAAAAGGTTTGGCAATGAATCCCATAAAAGAATATATACAGGAGAAAAACCATATCAATGCTCCCTGTGCAATGAAAGCTTATCTCAGCGTGCTGGGCTTTACTGCACACGAGATCCCTCACAGAGGAGTAAAACCATATTTGTGGTGGTCCATGTGCACAAAATGCTTCAGTATCGGGCATGTCTGGTTAAGACATGAGCAAATTCATCTGGGAGAGGAAGGTACCCTTGTCCCACCTGTGGGAAGAGGTTTTAGCTCGTCCTCGGAGGTCTTCTCCAGCACAGAAGAATTTATATGGGACACAAGAGAAACCATACAGAAGAAAAACCATATACATGCTCAGTCTGTGGAACGGTTATAGCTGGAAAAGTCACCTGGCTGTCCACAGGAGGCCATAAGGAAGAAAAATTACATACATGCTCATTGTGTGGGAAATACTTGAAGAAAGGATCCAATCTTCTTAGTCATAAAAAGTCTCGTATCCATGGGAAAACTTACAGGAGAGACACCCTATAACTGCTCTCTGTGTGAAAAAGGGTAGAGTGGGAGAACTAACACAGGAAAGCACTCCTGGGGGGAGGGAAGAGAGAAGGGGCCCCCTTCTGTCTTCCTATGATTTTTTTCTTACTCCCCCCACTACAGAGCCGATCTAAGATGGCTGAGAATCAGTGGCTAATTTAGACAAATTTATAAAAGGGAATCCAAATTACTAAGAGTATTAGCAAGGAGAAGGAAAATTCACTAAGGGTCTAGACTGTACCTAGGAGCCAGAGTTGTACGTCCTGTCCATGGGCAAGATCAAGTCAAGACTGGGCATAGGTCCAGGGACAGGGCGTGACAACTTTGGCTGACTTGATCTGATTGGGCAGGAATACAGTCTCAACCCATGGGTGGATCCTCCATCTCCAGTGCTGGAGAAAGGTTTGGCAATGAATCCCATAAAAGAATTCACACAGGAGAAAAAGGCTACTACACCTGTTCGGTCTGTGGGAAGAACTTCAAGCCCAGAAAAAGTTACAACGAACATCAAAAAATCCACACTCAGAAAAAGCTGTACATGTGCTCTGTCTGCGTAAAGGAACATTTGGAAGAATCCACATAGGGGAGAAACTGTATTCATACGGGGTTTATGGGAAAAGGTTCAAGAAAAAAACGAGCTTTACATCCCCACGAAAGAAGCCACACGGGAGAGAAATCACACGTGCTCCCTCTGTGAGAAACGTTTTGGGCGAAGATCAAACCTCATGAATCACGGGAGAATCCACATGGAATAAAACACGCAGACGTGTCCGGCCTGTGGGAAAAGTTTCTGAATGAAGGCATACCTGAGGAAATATGAAAAAAAATTCCAATGTGAGATGAAAGAGTCTCTATGTATAGCTTTTGTCTACTCCAGGAATATCTCAAAGGGATGACACAAGGAGGCAAATATCTAAAATGGAATCATGTTGAAAGTTCCACAGTTTCAATATGTGTTGTGACTTTGTATGCCTTACAACAGCGTTTTTCAACCTTGAACGCCTTAAGATGTGTGGACTTCAACTGCCAGAATCCCCCAACTTGCATGAGGAAAGTATTTTTATTTTTCATCTTATCTTATGTAATTTATTAGTACAGGTCATCCTTGACTTACAACCACAATTGAGTCCAAAATTTCTGTTGCTAAGTGAGACATGTTCTGTTGTTAAGTGAGTTTTGCCCCATTTTACAACCTTTCCTGTCACATGTGTGAAATGAATCACTGCAGTTGTTCGGTTAGGCCAGGGGTAGACAACCTTGGCTCTTTTATGACTCGTGGACTTCAGCTCCCAGAATTCCTGAGCCAGCATAGCCAGCAGAGCTGGCTCAGGAATTCTGGGAGTTGAAGTCCACAAGTTATAAAAGAGCCAATGTTGCCTACCCGTGGTTGTTAAGTGAATCTAGTTTCCCCATTGACTTTGCTGGTCAAAAGGTTGCAAAAGGGGATCACATGATTCCAGGAAACTGCAACCATCATAAAGGTGAGTCAGCTGTCAAGCATCTGAATGTAAATCACGTAACCCTGGGGATGCTACAATGGTCATAAGTGTGAAAAAGGGTCGTAAGTCACTTTTTTCCAGTGCCATTGTAACTTCGGTCACTAAGTGAACTGTTGTAAGTCGAGGACTACCTGTAACTGGCTCCAAATAACAAGGGACCTTTGGTGGCCATGGGGAGATTAAAACCCGAGGTTCCCCACTCCTAGTCTAGGGCCTTTGTCACTAACCTATGCTGATTCTAGGGCTGACCCAAGTGGTGTTTCGTTCTGAGGAGCAACTAAAACCCGGGTTTAATGGAGATTCTCAGATATCCAGATCATGGTTGTCCCAAAGGTGTTTTTTTTTTTCATGAGGTAACTGGACTTTCTTGTTTTTCTTTGAAGACGTTTCGCTTCTCATCCAAGAAGCTTCTTCAGCTCTGACTGGATGCTGGGGAATGGAAGGATCCAGTCAGAGCTGAAGAAGCTTCTTGGATGAGAAGCGAAACGTCTTCAAAGAAAAACAAGGAAGTCCAGTTGCCTCATGAAAAAAGCACCTTTGGGTAAAACCCGGGTCTTCTCACTCCCAGCCCAGCCCCTTTATCTCTGGCCCACACTGTCTCTTTTTAAAGCTACCCAACTAAATGGCCATCATTACCTCTTGTGGACACGAATTCCTCGGATCAGTTATGTATTGTGTGAAGAAGCACTTCCTTTTTGCCTCTTCTAAGCCTTGCAGTCAGCTTCCCTGGGACTTCAGTCATGTTCGGTTCTCAGTCGCCTTTTGTCCAAACCATTTAAGTCTGAAGTCTTCTCACTTCAACACATCCTTTAAAAAAAAGAAACCACACAACAATTTCGCTTTGAAACTTATTTAGATCCAGAGTACATACCACAAAGCAGGACAAGATAAGTATAGATAGTCCTCGACTTACAACAGTTCATTTAGTGACCATTCAAAGTTACAATGGCACAGAAAAAAGTGACTTATGACCCTTTTTATCACACTTATGACTGTTGAAACATCCCCATGATCATGTGATCAAAATTCAGATGCTCGGTAACTGACTCATATTTGTTGCAGTGTCCCTCCAGATCATGCAATCTTCTGAAAGCAAAGTCAATAGAGAAGCCAGATTAAGTGAATCTAGTTTCCTCATTGACTTTCCTTGTCAGAAAGTTGCAAAAGGGGATAGATCACCTGATCCAGGGACACTGCAACTGTCATAAATATGAACCAGTTGCCAAGCATACAAATTTTGATCCCTTGATCATGGGGATGCTGCAACGGTTGTTAAGTGTGAAAAATGGTCATAGGTCACTTTTCTCAGTGCCACTTAACTTCAGCCGGTCACTAAACAAGTTATTGTAAATGGAGGACTACCTGTATTCTGAATTCCTGGAAGAACAGTCAGCATTGGGAAATGCAATAACTGCATACCAGAAAAATGTCAGATTGAAGCCACCTACCTGATCTAAAATGAAGCCGAATTAAATGTAATGCATCTCCTGATGTTGGGTGTGTTTTTTTGGTTCATTTCCTGCTTTTGATTTCCTGGTGCTTCTGTAGTTGGCAATTAAGGCCAATTACAAAAAAATATACAGGTAATCCTCAGCTTACCATTGCAGTTGAGCCCAAAATTTATGTTACTCAGTGAGACATTTGCTAAGTGAGTTTTGGCCCATTTTACAAGCTTGTTTGCCACAGTTGTTAAGTGAATCACTTATGTTGTTCAGTTAGTAGCGGAGTTGTTAAGTGACTCTGGCTTCCCTATTGACTTTGTTTGTCAGAAGGTCGCAAAAGGGGATCACGTGATCATGGGACACTGCAACTGTCATAAATATGAGTCAGTGACCAATTGTCTGAATTTTGATCACATGACCATGGAGATGGTGCAACAGTCGTAAGTGTGAAAAACAGCCATAAATTTTTTTTCAGTGCCACTGTAACTTTACTCAGTTCATGCAGGGTACTGAATACAGATAGCTTTCGACATACAATAGTTCGTTTAGTGATTGTTCAAACTTACAATGGCATGCTTACAACTGTTGTGGCATCCATATGGTCACGTGATCAAAATTCAGACACTTGGCAACTGACTCACATTTATGACGGCTGCAGTGTCCTGGGGTCACGTGATCACCTTTTGCGACCTTATGACCAGTAAAGTCAATGGGGAAGCCAGATTCACTTAACAACCATATTACTAACTTAACTGCAGTGGTTTACTTAACAAATGTGGCAAGAAAGGCTGTAAAATGGGGCAAAATTCACTTAACAAATGCCTTGCTTAGCGCAACAGAAATTTTGGGCTCAATTGTGATCATAAGTCAGTTCCTGTAGTAGGAATGTGAGGAGACCTCAATGAGAACCCATAGCTAAACCGGAACAGCAATTTCAGAATTCTTTTCAAGCACAAAGAAGGATCCAACATCCCTACAGACAAAAGTCTTAATTTTCCAGCCATCATTCTGGCATCTGGAATTCTGGGAATTGAAGTCCACACATCTTAAAGTTTCCAACATTTCCAACGTTCCAGTGGAATAGACACTTCTTTGTAATAATGAGTTATGTGCCATCAAGTTGTTTTAGACTCCTAATTACCACATACATGCATTTTCGTGTAAAATTTTTTATTAATTTTCCCCCCCCATACATCATGGTTCAGTCCAAGCAGGGAATAAACGACATGGCGACTGCTTTAGAAAAAAGGTTGCAGTTTATTGAAGAGGAGAGCCAGACAGAAAGATGGCTCTGGAATTAAAGAAAGAGAGCACATGTAGGGAGTGGGTTTTTATACCCTCTAGAGCCTTTTGTTTGGAATTGTTCCTGTGGCATGAACTTTGACTTGAGTCTGAGTGTGCCCTTTGGCATCTGTGGGTTAATCCTATGTCCTGTCTTAGAGTTTGGGTGGGGTATGTAGATTTTAGGTGTCTTTGCCTTCTTAATCTTCTAGCTTCAACCTTCCTCAATGGTTTACATCCGCATTTCTACAGAGCTGGTTTCTGCTTGGGGGAGGGAGACTTGGGGATATTAAAAAAACTGGGCATGCTTTTCTGCCTCTTTAAGATCCTTTGAGGAAATATATTTTTCTGCCCTTTTAATATTTCCTTCTCTGGGGGGCTGACTTCCCACACTAGAATCAACAACCCCTCACACCAAAAATCTAAGAGTCATCAGCCCCAGCCCCAGGGAAGCAGGATATGACCCTTGGGACATAATAGGATTAACCCACCACCATCAGAATACCAGAAAGGCACACTAAGACTCAGATCAAAGTTCATGCCACAGGAACAACTACAAACAAAAGGCTTCAGAGGGTATAAAACCCCACTCCATACATGTGCTCACTCTCTTTTCTCCCAGAGCCATCTTTCTGTCTGGCTCTCCTCTTCAATAAACTGCAACCTTCTTTCTAAGCCATGTTGTTTATTCCCAGCTTGGACTGAACCATAATGAAGACTTTTCCTTCAACACAGATTAGAGCCCAAAGTAAGACAATGAGCAACTCTGAAGAAAGTATTTGAGCCCCCCCCCCCCCCCCCCCAGCACCACTAACCAGGCTTCCAACAACTTGTCCAAAAATCCTTAAGGGTAGCTCTGGGGTTTGTAAAATTTCCTTACACTACTTGTAAATGGAGATAGGGGAGGGGCTGGGAATAAAATCCACTAATGAAACATCTGCAAGAAAACAAGCAAGCTCAGAGAGCACCAAGGACCCCTTAGTTCAATATTCCTATTTTATTGCACCTCAGAGTCTCTTTCGATGGAGAGATGGGTGGCGTAGGAATTTAATTAATAACTAAAATAGGACTGGCAATAGCACTTATTGACTTATACGTCGTTTGTAAACAGCTTAGTGAGGGCTGCAAAGCACTGAAACGATATATGTCTAAATGGTATCGGTACTACTAGTGCCATTTTAGTTATTAATTAACTAATGCTTTACAGCCCTCTCTAAACTGTTTACACAGTCAGCATATTGCCCCCGCGACAATCTGCATGCTCCTTTTTACTGACCTCGGAAGGATGGAAGGCTGAGTCAACTTTGAGCCGGTGGTGAGACTCGAAAAAAAATAAATAAACTTGCTATACTGAGTAAACAGGGAGTGGCGATGACCTCTAAAATTGCTTTTCTTTTCCTGGTTTGCGCAAGCTGCACAGCCACCCACCGTTTGTTTTGCCCCGTTCAAGTTCTGCAAGCGGCCTTTCCCGAAGGGCCGGATCGGAAAATGAAAGCAGCCGAGAGAGCTTTAGCCTTCAGCCAGAAACGGTCATGGCTGCTGCGGCTGGGACTCCCTTGCGGGATCTCTGCGACGAAGTCACTTGTTCCATCTGCCTGGAGTGTTTCAAGGACCCGGTGACCATAACCACGTGCGGGCACAATTTCTGCCGCACCTGCCTGAGCAGCTGCTGCCAAAGACCCGGGAAAGGCGACGCCTCCTGCCCCGAGTGTCGAAAAACCTTCGACCACGGGAAGAACATCATCCCCAACCGGCCGCTGGCCAACGTGGTTCAGATCGCGGAGAGGTTCCGACGGGCGGGAAAGAAACCAAGCAAGGCGAACTTGTGTGAAAAGCACCACCAATCCGTGCAAATCTCCTGCGAGCACGAAACCGTCCTCAGCTGTGACATCTGCGGCATAACCAAGCCGCACAAAAGCAACAACACAGGGACCCCTTTGCAGAAAACCAAGGATGCACATAAGGTGAAAAAAATAAATCTTACTCGTTTAGGATCCGGATTACTTTCCCCCCCCCCCCTGCCTTTCGGGAATAGGGACCCGCGCAATCCCGGTTTTGCAAGCCTGCCGCTGGGAGAGCGAGGGAAGGATTGGGGAAGGCCCTCAATGCGCATGCTCAGGACAATCAATTGCCAACTACTTATCCAAAGCTGGCTGGCTGGCTGCAGGTTACTGTTGCTGGCGTGGTATTTAAAACGCGATTTAGCGATTGGTTGGTTATTTATTTTGCAGCTCTTTGCTTTTTTTAAAAATCGCAATTAGAAGGCGGTTAGGCGTGTGAGACAGAATTGCTTTAGCTAAAAAAAGATTGCAAGCATCGCCTTGTGGCGCTAATTGACACTATTGGGCTAAAAAACACGTGTGATCTTCGCTATAGGGGCGGCTATTTCCCCAGTAATAAGCTTGATGTGCATTCAGACGAATTCTCTGGGAGCAAATGTTCGACGTTGTTGCTTTTCAAAGGAGGAGGCACTGCTGAGAAATAGATGAGAAATGAATAGTTTATTAAACTCACCATTTTTTCCCAGATCGTGGAGAGAGAAGGCAGGTCTTTATAATGGGCATAACAGCTGAGATAATGAAGTAAGATTGAATAAGCAAAAGGAAGTTTTTCTTTCTTTCCAACGCATGATTAAAACTAGGACCAGGATTAATCACAGAGTACTCTGTGGTCAAAAAAGGCAGGCTGCAATGCAATGCAAAAAAAAAAAAAAAGGATTTAAAGCTACAGTTCTGCATCTATATCACTTGTGATACTGTTTGTTTTCCTGTAAGCCTGATCTAAGAAATCTTGCCATCTTACAAGTAATATTTGGATTTGAATCAGCTAAAAGGAGAGTGAAATGAAATGGATCTGATCTACCAATTTAAAGAGGATTTTACTTGTTGATAGGAATTCTTAAAATACAATGTGTGCTGCTGGCTTGTCTTAAGCCAAAAGATGGGAGCTCAGCCAATAAGCTAGTTTGTTTTTTAAATATAATTTTTTTTATCAAAGAAAGATTTTAAAAAACAAACAATACAAATATTGAAAAAAGAGTAAAGAAAAGTAACAAGTGTATGAAGAAATGGCTTCTGGTCTTTACAGCAGTTTCAAGTACTGTATTGCACATCTATATTTTACCTCCTCTCTCACAGGTTACCACATAATTTCCTTCTTTCCATAATAATAATAACAACCCTTTCTAATAATCAAACTCATAAATCACACCAGTAAGCTGACTTCCAAAGATAACTTAAATCTTGGTTGTCATTTTCTCCCCAGGAGTATGTGGACAGTTTTGTGAAGATGGTGAAGGAGGTAGAACAAAATATTTTGGCACATCAGTCAGACAGAGAGCAGGAAAGCAAGGACTTGCTGGTAAGTTGTTGTCGCTGCCAAATGAAGCGGGGAAAAAAAGACTTAAAGCCACATTGAGATTAGAAGTAATGATTGCTAAATAGGTATTATTATTATTATGGTTGGTTTCACAGTCAGCCAAATGACAAAGTAGATCACAACCTACTACTTGATAAGATAGAAAAATGTGGGGTAGACAGCATCACCACCAGATGGATCCGTAGCTGGCTGACTGGCCGTACTCAGCGTGTGGTCCTCAATGGAACCGCATCTACATGGAGGGAAGTGTGTAGTGGGGTGCCCCAGGGCTCTGTTCTGGGCCCAGTGCTCTTCAACATCATCATCAACGATTTGGACGAGGGGATAGATGGGGAACTCATCAAATTTGCAGACGACACCAAGCTGGCAGGAATAGCCAACACTCCAGAAGACAGGCTTAAGATACAGAAGGATCTGGACAGACTTGAACACTGGGCACTATCTAACAAAATGAAATTCAATGGTGAAAAAAATAAGGTTCTACATTTAGGCAAGAAAAACCAAATGTACAGGTATAGTATAGGGCAGGGGTAGGCAACCTCGGCTCTTTTATGACTCATGGACTGACTCAGGAATTCTGGGAGTTGAAGTCCATGAGTCATAAAAGAGCCGAGGTTGCCTACCCCTGGTATAGGGGGTACCTTGCTCAATAGTAGTAACTGTGAGAGGGATCTCGGAGTCCTAGTGGACAATCATTTAAATATGAGCCAGCAGTGTGCTGCAGCTGCCAAAAAGGCCAACACAATGCTAGGCTGCATTAACAGGGATAGAATCAAGATCACGTGAAGTATTAATACCACTTTACAATGCCTTGGTAAGGCCACACTTGGAATACTGCATCCAGTTTTGGTCACCATGATGTAAAAAAAGATATTGAGACTCTAGAAAGAGTACAGAGAAGAGCAACAAAGATGATTAGGGGACTGGAGGCTAAAACATATAAGGAACAGTTGCTGGAATTGGGTATGTCTAGTTTAACAAAGAGAAGGACAAGGGGGGACATTATTGCAGTGTTCCAATATCTCAGGGGCTGCCACAAAGAAGAGGGAGTCAAGCTATTTTCCAAAGCGCCTGAAGGCAGGACAAGAAGCAATGGATGGAAACTAACCAAAGAGAGAAGCAACCTAGAACTAAGGAGAAACTTCCTGACAATTAGAACAATTAGCCAGTGGAACAACCTGCCTCCAGAAGCGTTGAATGCTCCAACACTGGAAGTTTTTAAGAAGAGACTGAACAGCCATTTGTCTGAAATGGTATAGGGTTTCCTGCCTGAGCAGGGGGTTGGACTAGATGACCTCCAAGGTCCCTTCCAACTTTACTACTACTACTACTACTACAACAACTACTACTACTACTACTACTATTACTATTATAACACACATTTAAACATACTATATAGCAGGGATCTCCAACCCCCGGTCCATGGATCGGTATCGGGCTACAGCATGCCAGCAACCAGTCTGCACAAACAAGCAAAGCCCCATCCGTGGGATGCAGGCAGCACACAAAACCATGTACTCTCCAGTCCGTGGAAAAACCTTTCTCCATGGAACCGGTCCCTGGTGCCCAAAAGGTTGGGGACCTCTGCTATATACAACATTTGTATAGACCTACACCCTTACATTTAATTAACATATAAATATTAGTAACTGTCCATCTTGAATACATAACGGAAGGAGGAAGCTTTAGAGTTCACAAGGTTAATACTGTATGGAACAAAACTGTAACTGAATCTGGATGTTCTGCTTTGGATACCACGGAGCCCCCTCCCAGAAGGTAACAAGGCAAGAGGATATGTAGTGTCCCAGACAATCTTACGGACCCTGCTCAAGCAATGCTTATGTGCTATGAGCTGGGTGGAAGGGAGGGAACTGCCAATAATCTTTTCAGCCATCCTCACCACTCTCTGCACTGCTTCCTGTCTGATGCAGTGATGTTTCCAAACCAGACTGTAATGCAATATGACAGGATGCTCTCGATCGTCCCTCTGTAGAAAGTGGTAAGGACAGGGGAAGGAAGATGTGTTTTTCTCATTTGACGCAGAAAATGCAGGCACTGCTGTGCCCACTTCATCAGTAAATCGCTGTTGACTGACCAAGCCAGCCAACTTATTAACTGCACACCCAGGAATTTGATGCTGGTAACCATCTCCACAGGTGAATCATTAATGCTCAGAGAAGTGTGGCTGCCTTTTCTGAAATTGACAACAATTGCTTTGGTTTTTCCAGTATTTAAAACTAGGCTGTTTTCCTTACACCAGTTCACCAAACCCTCAACCTCCTTGCGGTAAGCACCCTTATTGTCATCATGAATAAGGCCCACTACTGTTGTATCATCTGCGAAGGCAGGTGTTATTTGATGCTTCAAAGGGATTGTCACAGAAATATAAGCTGTGCCAAGTAAAGCTGCCTCTTGCAATGGATGATGGTGAATTTGTCAATGCCGATGGTGTTCAAGTGGTGCTCCAGATATTTTGGGCTTGCACCTAAGGCACCTATATTGGTACTATCTTAGCTTTCTTTTGGCATTGTCATTATCATTTTGGATGGTCACACAGTCAGCCAAATAGTTAGACTGGATTTGGCATTTTTATCCACCTATTGAGTCTATGGAGATTCTGAGTCATTCACGTCATGGTTGTCCCAAAGATGCTTTTTCAAAAGACAAGTGGACTTCGTTTTTCCTTGAAGACGTTTTGCTTCTCATCCAAGAAGCTTCTTCAGCTCTGGCTGAATGGTGGAAAATGGAAGGATTTATATTCCTTGCAGTCATCTGGACACCCATTTGGCACTATTGGGTGTAGACACCCATTTCCACTTGGAAGTTTATCTGTGCCCTCAGGGTCATCCGAATAGTGCAAATGGGTGTGAACACCCATTTTCATACCCATTTGCACGATTCAAGTGACCCTTAGGGCACAGATAAGCCTCCAAGTGGCCTCAACGACTCTCAGAAAAAGTGCTAGTGACCAGATGACTGTAAGGTATATCAATCCTTCCATTCCCCACCATGCAATCAGAATTTAAGAAGCTTCTAGGATGAGAAGTGAAACATCTTCAAGGAAAAACGAAGTCCAGTTGCCTTTTGAAAAAACATCCTTGGGACACCTATTGAGTCTTTCCCAAAGACCTGGGATAGGTAGATTTTGTTTGATGGGGTTAAAGGTATTGTTGCATGATGTAAGCTATTCCAAGTAATTATTATTAATAATTTACAGTTGAAAGGGAGCAGGATTAGAACCATGACAAGTGATTTACTGCTGTTTCCTATCCCTAAATGCCCACTTCTAGCTCTGCCCACTCTATACTTGAGACCCTTTGTTATCTATTTTATTTCTGCAGAGACAAATGAAAGCGGAGCGAGGAAAGGCAACCTCTCTGTTCAGAGATCTCCACCACTTCCTGGAAGAACAAGAAAAACAATTCCTGGCCGAGATGGAAGAGGTAGAGAAGGAGATTACTGGAAAAAGAGATTTCTTCATGGCTTTGTCTTTCCAGGAACTTTCACGCTATGAAACGATCATCCAGACGATGAAAAATTCTCAGCAGCCCAACGATGAACTCTTTACGGTAAGAGCGGAGTTCTTTGGTGTATTTGCTTGTTGCAGTTTCAAGGAAAGGCCACTTTCCTTCCACATTGCTGTGCACATAGTCCTTGACATATGGCCGTAATGGAGCCTGGCCATTATGATCATATATCATAAAACAGTTGTAAAATGGTTTGGTCACATGATCAACCTGAGTTTATGACCTTATTTACGGAGGTTGTTAAGTAAATCCACATCATTAATTGAACCAGTGCTTTGCTATGGTCTTGGTTTTGCCAAAAGCTGGATGTTAAATACCGGGTTTTGGCAAAAGCATAGTAAAACATCCATCAATGTGGCCATGTTGTCAAGTGCCCGAAATTCAGTCACCTGACTGCAGAGGAGGCTCAACCATCAGAACTTCGAATCCAGGTCATAGGTCCCCTTTTTCAGGTCAGTTGTAACTGAATGGTGTTAAGTAACTGGTCGTAAGTGGAGGACTACCCTGTACATTGAATTGTAGCCTTAACAACCTCACACAAATATTTTCAATGGGAAAGAGAATAGTTTGCACGCGAGACCATTGACACTTTTTTTCTGGAATAATGTGTTTGGGTGATTAGGCCCTGGAACTGCTTTAAAATGTTCTTAAAGTTAACTTCGGGGTCTGTTGTTGAAAAATATCCTCAATATGTCAAAATGTGAAAATATTTTGCGTCATCCTGTATATATAAGTCAAGGTTGAGTGTTTAACAGTAAACTTTAATTCCTTCTAGTTCCTTCTATTGTCCAATTTTAAAATCTTCTCTTATTATTAATTCACTGTCTCTTGTTTCTTTTGGTTTATTTTACACTTTTAAATCTATTTTGATATATTTATTGTTTTAATTGTTGTATGCTGCTGAGAGTAACTTTTTGTGAAATGGGCAGCCATATAAATTTGATAAACAAGGAAATATTTTTCTTAAAAAAGAATTCAAAATAAAACCAAAACAAAAGTCCTGCAGGAAGGATTCTTTACAATTAATTCCAAAATCTTATTTCAAATTTATCTGGACACTTAGTCCATGTGTAACTTTCTAAAATCAAAGTTTTAATGACTCATTTCTGTTTATTTCAATATATATACAGTATTTAGTCCTTAAACTTGTATTTAAGACTTCTTTTACTAAGGACACTCACCTGATGTTGTCAGACTTGTTGATTGAAAGATTTCTAATAGCTGAAAAAGCAATTAACAAGCAATTTCTGAAAGTGATTAGAAAGGAAGTGTGTGAACCCAGTTTCCTTTTAAAAGTACCAAGTACCATGGGTTGAGCAAGATAGCTATTCCAACATCTCCCAGAGCTCTTAAACGCACTGGAGACCACTATTTTGCATTCTCCTCACAAGGAGCAGCTGTCTGGAATACTTCTGGACAATCTCAAGTCCTCTCCTTGCCTTGAGAGGAATTATGAAGAGTTGGTTTACTTGCTGGCTCTTCATTCTACCATATTTGGATGCATTCCACCAACTTCAGTCTGTCATTTCTTCCCCACAAGTCTCCCTCTTGGCCTTTAGAAGGTAGTAAAGTCTTGACTTTTCCCCAAGCGCTGAGGGCAGGATGTGAATGAAATTCTGAGGTGGTTATGTGTGATCTATGAGTGTTGAGATTCTACCTGGGGTCTTGAGTTTGTCTTTTTTTCTTTTTCCAAAGAGATTTTGATGATTGCACTATATCCTTGTTCACTGCCCAGAGTTCCTTTGGTAGCTAAATGGCCCTCTAAATTTCACGAATGAATAAATAAGTGAATTAATGAAGGAAGAGTTTAATTGCCACAAAATTCAGCACGAGCAATATCTGTGGCAGAATTCTTTCAATTCCTACTCATGGAATTTTTCTTTCTCTTCTCCCTCCAGGAAATCTCAGACAGCTTGCAAAGGTAAGTGGATCCCATCTGTCCCTTCCCCATTTATTATCAACTGTACAGGTAGTCCTCGATTTACGACCTCAGTTGAGCCCATTTCTGTTGTTAAATGAGACATTTGTTAAGTGAATTTGGGGCCATATTATAACCTTTCTTGCCACAGTTGTTAAGTGAATCACTGCAGTTGTTAAATTAATAACACAGTTGTTAAGTGAATCTTCTCCTCCTCCATTGACTTTGTTTGTCAGAAGGTCACAAAAGGTGATCACTGGACAATGAGACACTTGCAACTGTCATAAATATGAGTCAGTTGCCAAGTGCAATAATTGTAAATGTGAAAACCAGTCATAAGTCACTTTTTCAGTGCCATTATAAGTTCGAATGGTCACTAAACAAATCGCTGTAAGTCAAGGACTACCCGTAGTCCATTTTTATAGGTTCTCCTGCTTGAGCAGGGGCCTGGACTAGAAGACCTTCAAGGTCCCATTCTATTCTATTCTATTCTATTCTATTCTATTCTATTCTATTCTATTCTATTCTATTTCTATTTCTATTTCTATTTCTATTTCTATTTCTATTTCTATTTCTATCCCATTCCCATTCCCATTCCCATTCCTTAAGATTCTGTTGTTTCTTTCCAATTTATGCGAGGGAATTTTTGACCGGGTGGACCGAAGGCTAACATTCTTTCATTTCTCTAGTGAAGAAAAGATTAAGAACCTTCCATTTTTCCATTCTACCGTAAAGTGGAAAATTTGGGACTTCTGTGATATCAATCACATCCTGGAAGGAATCACGAAACACTTTAAAGGTAATACATGAAGATTTTAGGCTAACTCCTAACATCCCAGTTGACGCATGGCAAGATCTTAGTTGTGGGCAGCAGTGAAATTGCTAAGGAATTCTGAGAGTTCAAGCCAGTTTAAAAGTTTGGTCTGCTTATATGTGGCTGAACTTTGCGATTTCTTCCTCCATGGAAAACCAATTTCAGCATTAAAAAACCCAATTGAGTGATAAGAGGCACACAAATAAATATCTGTAAAATTGACGAGGAGTGTGTTTCACGTTATTGTTGTGAGATCTGCCTTGCACATGATAGAGCAATGCTTACTTCTTTTCCTGTCGTCTTTTCAGATACTTTGCTGTCTGGTCTTCAGCTGCAGAAAGGTAAACGTGGGGGAGGGGAATCGAAAGCAAAGCGAACAGGCTCGATTTTTCTCTTGGCCAGATCATTTGGTCAAAATGGAGACCTGGACTCTTTTGGAGCTCCCATAAAGAGGGCTTTTGTTTGATACCAGCAATCAGAATTTATCTAATTAAAAAGCCCCAAATCATTTAAGATAACTTTCTGAACCTCTATAATATTAAGGAAGGAAGTGCTCATGGAGATTTTTTTTTCTGCCCCTCCCTCATTTTGTCAATTAGTGATAGAAAAGATATAATTTATCTTATATATAAAGATAGATTTATATATAAATAGAAAGATAAATTTTATATATAAATAAATTTCCTATTCATATGGTATATTTAGAAAATATACTATATAAATTTACCGTGTGCATGTATGTGTGCGTATATCTATATACACATAATGTAATATATGTATTATATATACATATAATATCTCCAGGGTCCTTTCCAACTATTCTATTCTATTCTATTCTATTCTATTCTATTCTATTCTATTCTATTCTATTCTATTCTATCCTATCCTATTCTATTCTATTCTATTCTATTCTCAAAGAAGAGGGAGTCAAGCTATTCTCCAAGGCGCCTGAAGGCAGGACAAGCAGCAACGGATGGAAATTAATCAAGGAGAGAAGCAACCTAGAACTAAGGAGAAACTTCCTGACAGTTAGAACAATTAACCAGTGGAACAACCTGCCTCCAGAAGTGGTGAATGCTCCAACACTGGACGTTTTTAAGAAGAGACTGGACAGCCATTTGTCTGAAATGGTATAGGGTTTCCTGCCTGAGCAGGGGGTTGGACTAGATGACCTCTAAGGTCCCTTCCAACTTTATTATTATTATTATTATTATTATTATTATTATTATTATTATTATTATTATTATTATTATTATTATTATTATTATTATTATTATTATTATTATTATTATTCTATTCTATTCTATTCTATTCTATTCTATTCTATTCTATTCTATTATCTATTCTGCTTTCTATTCTGTTTTCCATCCCATCCCATCCCATCCAGAGTTACATTGCTTGAGTTAAGCAGTGTTATCAATGATCTAAATAAATAAATGTAAAGGAAGAGTCTGGATGAGGAAGAGTGCCCATTCAAGAAATCCCTTTTAACTGAGGGAGAATTCGATTCTTGTGATTTTGTTTTTAGGGTGGGGTGCATTTCTATTCCAGATTAAAGCTATTTTGCTTCCCTTTCTTGATCTTCTTCTCCATTAACAGCAAACATAACTCTGGATTCAGACACGGCTCATCCCCAACTCACCTTGTTCCTGGATGGTAAAACAGCAGAACTAGGCGATCGTCATCAACAACTGCCCAACAATCCTGAAAGATTTGACATACTGGCTGTTGTGTTGGGACATGAAGAATTCAAGAAGGGTCGGCATTTCTGGGAAGTCAATGTAGCGAGTCAGAAAGAATGGGCAGTGGGGATTTCCCGGAAGAGTGTGAAAAGGAAGGGTGCATTCTCCTTAAATAGAGAAGAAGGGGTCAGTATGCTGGGAATATGGGGAGGTAATTACAAGTTCTCCCTCCCACCTAATCCTCTTCCTTACTTCCCGGACAAGAAATTAAAAAGGATCCGGGTGTGTCTAAATTGTGCTGCGGGAATGGTTTCGTTTTTTGATGCTGAGACTGGAACTCTGCTCTATTCAACAACTTCCTTTCCAGGAGAGATCGTTCTTCCCTTCTTTTGGCTGGGGTCACATGCCCAGCTCAGCCTCTGCCAATAAGACCTTCCAGTGGGGCCACTGTAAGAATTCCAGATGTTAGCACCAGGCTTTGTTTCCATCTTTGCACTTGGTTTCTTTGATGTTCGAGAAGAACGCATCAAAGGCATTCAGGCGACACAATCTAGAGCATTATATGTAGTCCTCGACATAACAACCATGTAACAGGAGATTAAAATCATGACAATGCTGAAAAAAGTAATTTAGAACCCGTCCTTAAGAGTTATGCCCATTGCAGTCACATGATTGTGATTTGGGCACATAGAAACCGGCTCGCATTTATAATCATTGCAGCATCTGGTAGTCACATGATCACAACTTGCAACCTTCCTAGCTGACTTCTGACAAGCAAAGGCAATAGGGGAAGCCAAGATCGCTTAATGACCACATGATTTGATCAATGACCATGGCAAAAAAAAGATTGTAAAAATCAGATGTGGTCACATGATGCCTCATTTACTGACTGTCACTTGATGATGAATTTTCTAGTCCCAGTTGTGGTCATAAGCTGAGAACTATGTGTAATATAATTTGTTTGTTTTAAACATGTTGTGTCACCTGTAGCCTACTGCCCAGCGCTAATAACTGGACAGCCTTCCTGTTAACAAAACAGAATCACTTCCATACCTAGACTTTTTTTGAGCATTCTTTAAGCTGTCTCCCCTAACTTCATAGTGCAGAGGTCCCCAACCTATGGGCCGTGTGAGTGGCTGGCCAGTGCGCGCACGTATGTGTGTGAGCTTACTGTGTCTTGTGCTGGCGCTAGCCGAGCTGCGAGCCTTGCACTGGCAAAAGCTGAGCTGCGAGCTGTGAGTCTCTAGCAGCGGTAGCCGAGCCATGAGCTGCGTGCCGGCACTAGCTGCGCTGCGAGCCTCTTGCAGCGCTAGCCGTGCCGTGAGTCTCTTGTTGGTGCTAGCCACACCGTTAGCCTTGCGCTGGCACTAGCTGAGCCTCTCACTGGTGCTAGCTGAGCTGGGAGCTGCACGCTGGCACTAGCAGCCCCATTTGCGGCGCATGCATGCTCACAGCCCCATTTGTGCCATATTCCTACTGGGCCACCAACCCAGAAAGTTTGGGGACTTCTGTCATAGTGCATCCTTATTTTATTAAAGATAGCAAATGCCATTTCAGGATAGCAAACCCAATCAAGATATTTATTTTTTTACAAAAAGGTATTAACAATAAAACCAAAACATCTTTATATTGCAGTCACAGACTAAAAAAACCAAACAACAACAACAACAACAACAACAACAACAACAACAACAACAATAATAATAATAATAATAATAATAATAATAATAATAGTAATAGAATTGGAAGGGACCTTTGAGGTCTTTTAGTCCAACCCCCTGCTCAGTCTCTTCTTAAAAACCTCCAGTTGTGTAATAGAATTTATAGTAATAACAGGAATACATATGGCAGATTAAATTAGGGCAAAATGAAAGGTAAAATGGATTAATGAAGTGCAATTGGTAGAGTGCAGAAAGATGAAATACTTAAGGCCAATCACGACATTATTCCAAGTGTTTTGCAAATGCACAAAAAAGCTATACAAAATGGAAGAAATAAACTTTAAGATAAAATTGCCAAATTACATCTATTGTTTTTACTCAGGTTAATTAATCATTTCATGGCCCTAAAATTAAGGCCAAACAAGTCTGTTAGAGAAAGAAAGCTATACTGTACGAACTTCAATACAGTAATAATGGATCGACACCCATTAAATGCCCTCTCTCATATTGACTCAGGTTTTAGAAACTGTATTCCCCATAATAAACGTCCCTCACCCATCTGCTCAATTGCCAACTTATTCTCCTGCACGTACTAAATATTTAGAACTTCTGAAAAGAAAAATACTCTGGACAGATTCCCTGAGCTTTGCAACCTTCATTAGTTAGTCTGAAATTGGCACGATCCTAATCGGCTTCACCCATAAAGCAGGAGTGTCCAACCTCTTGGCTTGCCTGCAGAGGAACTGTCTTCAGACACCTATGAAATGTGTAATAGAGTTAATGTATATTAATTCATAATGTTAAAAGTTTATGATATTGTGGGACTTCATTAGTAGCTGTCCGAGGCCGCTTGCGGTTCATGGACCATGGATTGGATGCACCTACCCTAAATACTTCCTTTTGCCTTTTAAATGCCAAGCAAATAGACAGTTCCAAGACTTTCCTTTTAATATGTATCGCTCATGGTGTGCTTGCTTACTCTTTTGTAATTTCTTCCTTTCCTGTGAGTGTAAATACAAGTATTAATTTCCTCTTGCTACAGTAGTTAGTTCAGAACTGAGGTGGGATTCCATAGGATGGCAGAATAGAGAAAAGGGCTATGAGATTTACCCCCCCCTTTCCCAGCTTCCTTTGTAAATCAAGTTCCCAGAACATGAACCTTCCTCCTCCTTAGGGCTCAATTGGCTCTTTGTGTCCTTATATTTCTGATACTGTACTGTAAGTATGCTCAGGGATGATTTCCTAATAAACCTTTTCAAGATTTATTGCCATCCTGCGTCTCCCTTAGTGTTCTTTGTTTTTTGGTGTCTGTCCTGCAAATTCTAAATTAAGCCTTGATGCACAGATTGTCTGCATATATATCTAACAGGGGAGTGAAAAATACTCAACAGGCCCTGTTTGGATGCTACATCGAGTGGATGGATTCAATTTTTCCTGATGTGATGCCTGAGATAACAACATATTTTGGGTTTAGTGAAGCTCTTGATAGTGCAAGGCGAGCATCTAACCCAGGGGTAGGCAACCTTGGCTCTTTTATGACTCGTGGACTTCAACTCCCAGAATTCCTGAGCCAGCCATGCTGAGGAGAAATGGAGAGGTTTCCATACTGAGCCATGCTGGCTCAGGAATTCTGGGAGTTGAAGTCCACGAGTCATAAAAGACCCAAGGTTGCCTATCCCTGATCTAACCCAATGTTTCTCAATCTTGGCAATTTTCAGCTGGCTGTAGAATTCTGGGAATTGAAATCCACACATCTGAAAGTTGCCAAGGTTGAGAAACGCTAATCTACCCACCAGTGAGTAGACCCTTATGTCCTCTGAGAATGGAAAGTGGAGCAAAGATGGCAAAGGCACTTCTCTACTTGCCCAGGACAGCCATAGAGTAGGAGCAATAGAAGTGACTTCAATTACAGCACTGGATACAAACTAATGAGAAAATTTCGGTTTCTGCTTATGTCCCTAGTGGTGTCTGAGCTGTATTTTGAGATTATAGTCAGCCCAATCCAAGTAGAGTGAATGAGGGCCTCAAAGTGAAGGGCTGACTTAATGCATTTGAAGTAAACTAGGCATAAAATCTTTTACATCCAAGATTTAACATGATCAAACTTTAGTGTAGTACTTAAAACTTATGCCAAAGTCTCAACAAGCCAGGAGTTAATTATGTTTGTTGTTTCTTCCAACTCAGGGAAATTAATCTCAGGTCACTCCTGCATTGGCTGTCTACGCTGTTCTCTCAGTGATGATCTTTGGGAAAATCCCTGAGGATTTGGCAGGGAGAGAGATGAAGAGTTCTCAATGGTTTTCATAATTGTAGGTGAGAAATACGGAGTGGATTGCAGCTGCGGCAAGGTGGACCGCCAGGATTAAAGGTGTAAACAAAATTTAGTGAAGCAGGTGGAGAGTTCAATCACTTACAAATAGTCAGTGAGGGAGAAATTTGGCATTGGCTAATAGAAAAATACCAGAGACATACTGAAATAAACCCCAGAAGGAATAATGGATAAACAACAAGCTGTGTTGGTTAGCAATGTCTGCATATTGTACAGATCTGAATATTCTCAGTTGATTCAGCCTGATGCAAGTCTAGCCATACAAACAGTGTTAGCCTAAAGTCCTTAATCACCCCCCCCTCCCCAAGTCTTTTTTTAGTTCCAGGGCACACCTGAAATCCCGAGAGTATTACATGGACCAACCACAAAATGTCCTTAAATTCTCTAAGAGCACAAAGCAAAGTATCAGATCTATTTAATTTTTAAAAAAGCATAGTTTGTTCTAAATCAACAAACTATGAACCCCTTCATTTAAGTTTTACATTTTTCATTGAGTCTCAAACATTTGTTATATGAGAATAATTTAATAAATATTATCTTAATAGTACTATGAAGAATAATAATGATAGCACTATGAATAACAATAATGATACGAACAACTTGAATGTAGCATGAATTGATTACAAAGTGGCATTTGACTCCCTGATAGCAATAACACTTAGGTTTATATACTGCTTCACAGTGCTTTACAGCCCTCTCTAAGCGGTTTACAGAGTCAGCATATTGCCCCCAACAATTTGGGTCCTCATTTTACCCATCTCAGAAGTATGGAAGGCTGAGTCAACCTTGAGGCTGGTGAGAATTGAACTGCCGAACTGTTGGCAGCTGGCAGTCAGTAGAAACAGCCTGCAGTACTGCATTCTAACCACTGTGCCACCACAGCTCAGAAGGGAATAAAGTGCCTAGAAATAACAGGAGTCAGTAGAAGCATCAGAAGTTTTGTGCAAAGATTTATGGCACTATGGTGGACATGGTTACTAGTCAATGGTGATAGATTGGGAGAGATTAATATCAAGAGAGGAATCTTCCAAAGAGACTCACTTTTACTGCCACTGTTTTTCATTGCACTGAATCTGTCTGTCAATAATACTGAATAACTCAGGGCATTGCTATCAAAATTTTAAAAAAATCTGCCAGGCTATCTCACCTCCTTTATATGGATGATCTAAAGCAGTGGTTCTCAACCTGTGGGTCGGGACCCCATTTGGGGTCGATCGACCATTTCACGGGGGTCGCCAAGCAAGGCTGTCCGCCATTTTTTTTGTCCGCCATTTTTTCCCCTTTTCTGGCGGGTGCCTTACCTCCCTTGGGCTGGGCCCGCTGGTGGTCGGCCTGCTCCATCTCTGCCGCTTGCCAGCTACGCCTCGGCCGGCGCAGGGGGCGGAACCACGCATGTGCGGCGCTCCCGGGCAGGGAAAGTCCTCAACTTACGACCGGTTTAGTCCTCGACTTACGACCGGTTTAGTCCTCGACTTACGACCAGTTGGGGTCGCGGCATTAAAAAGGTTGAGAACCACTGATCTAAAGCTATATAGAAAAACAACATCTGAAATAGAATCGCTGCTCAACTGTCCATATATATAGCCAGTATATTGCCAGGGAGTTTGGACTGTACAAATGCGCCATGTTTACC